GGTAGAAGGCCATTTCTTAGTAAATGACCTTCGTCCTGCATACCAAGCCCTGAGAAAGCTGAACTCCAAGCCCTCTTCACAGGTGACAGCAGTTCGCTCAGTAAGTGGTCAGATCGTTTCAGATCCTGTTGCGGTGCGGGGACGTTGGGCTGAGTATTTTGAGCAGCTGTACCAGGTTGACCCACCAACAGTTAACTTGGATGCGGGTAGTGTCGAGATCCCGCTGCCGGATCCACCTATCAGTGAGGACCCTCCCTCCCTAACTGAAGTTAGGGGGGCGATTTCCAAGCTGAAGAGTGGTAAAGCAGCTGGTATCTGCGGCATACCAGCTGAACTGTTAAAGGCTGGTGGTGAACCTATGGCACGGGGGTTACATGCTGTCCTGGCTGCCATCTGGCAGTCCGGTTCCGTTCCTCCTGACCTGTTGAGGGGTGTGGTCATCCCTCTCTGGAAGGGGAAGGGGGACCGTTGGGACAGCAATCACCGAGGCATCACACTGCTCAGTGTACCAGGCAAGGTTCTCGCCCACATCCTTCTGAGACGTATCAGAGACCATCTACTGAGGCACCAGAGACTGGAGCAATCCGGATTCACTCCTGGTAAGTCCACAATAGACCGTATCCTCGCGCTTCGAGTCATTGTAGAGCGCCGTCGTGAGTTCGGGCGTGGGCTGCTTGCAGCCTACATCGACCTCAAGAAGGCGTTCGATACGGTGCATCGGGAGTCACTTTGGGAGATCCTGAGGCTGAGAGGAATACCAACAAGGATTATTGGACTAATAGCAAGCCTGTATACTGGTACTGAAAGTGCTGTAAAGTGTGGTGGGGGCCTGTCGAGCTTCTTTCCTGTTAGTTCAGGAGTGAGGCAAGGCTGTGTCCTTGCACCAACTCTTTTCAACACTTGCATGGACTGGATACTGGGCAGAGCTACTGTTCAAAGTCATTGTGGGGCAACGCTGGGCAATATCAAGGTTACAGACCTTGACTTTGCTGATGACGTTGCCATTCTATCTGAGTCTTTGGAAACCCTAGTGGCGGCTCTCGATGCATTTAGCAATGAAGCGAAGCCCCTGGGTCTAGAGGTCTCCTGGACCAAGACCAAGGTCCAGGAATTTGGGGACTTGATAGGAGAACCTGTTCAGTCGGTACGTGCTTGCGGCGAGGACATTGAAGTCACAGAGAGCTTTACATACCTTGGTAGTGTAGTTCATAACTCTGGGCTGTCAGACCATGAAGTCAGCAGACGGATTGGCCTGGCAGCAGGGGTCATGAACTCTCTCAACAAGAGTATTTGGAGATGTCGGTACCTGTGCAGAAGGACCAAGCTACGGGTTTTCAAGGCCCTGATAATGCCAGTTTTGCTATACGGTAGCGAAACCTGGACATTGTCCTGTGCCTTGGAGGCTCGTCTTGAAGCCTTTTGCAATAGGTCCTTGCGCCAGATCATGGGGTACTGTTGGCGGGACCATGTGTCCAACCAACGGTTGCACCGTGAGACTGGCACAAGCCCTGTTATCTGCACAATCCGTGATCGCCAACTCAGGCTATACGGCCACCTGGCTCGCTTTCCTCAGGATGATCCTGCCCATCAGGTCGTCTCTATTCGAGACAACCCTGGGTGGAGGAGGCCTGTGGGACGACCGAGGAAGTCATGGCTTGGGCAGATCGACCAAACCTGCCGTGAAGAACTAGAGATGGGCCGAGTCCCTGCCTGGCGTCTAGCCATGAGGGATCCTCGTAGGTGGAAGCGAAGGGTGGATGCGGCTATGCGCCCCCGTCGGCGTCAGCCCCCATGATGATGATGAATAATACATACATATATATATATATACATACATACATACATACATAACGAGTGCGAGGTCACAGTCGTCAGGTGATTTACCAGCTCCCATGTAGTATATATATGCTATGTTTTTTCTCTTATGTATGTATTTCTGATGAAGACGTAATCGAAACTGGTCAAATACATCTCTTGTATTGTGAAGATATCCAGTCTCATTCATACCTTTTCTACATTTGTCAACATGGATACGTTTCATCATATATATATATATATATATATATATATATATATATATATATATATATATATTTATATATATATATGCACACACACACACACACACACACACACAACACACACACACACACACACACACACACACACACACACCACACACACACACACAACACACACACACACAACACACACACAAAACACAACAAACACGCACACACACACGCACACACACACACAACACACGCCACACACACACGCACCACACACACACACACACACACACACAACACACCACACAAACACAACCACACAACACCAACACACACAACACACACACACCACAAACACACACACACAAACACAACACACACCACACGCACACACACACACACACACACACACACACACACACACACACACACACACACACCACACACACACACACACACACACACACACACACACACACACACACCACACACATATCTGTGCTTGATAAGTTACAATAATACCATCAATATATTTTGCAAATTACATTCATTCTGTAGGCCCAAGTGTGAAGCATTTTATTTTGATTTTTATGTATTTTAAGGTTGTGGGAGAAGATCCATGTTACTCTGTAAGTGAAGTCATCTGTCAGCAGTGTTTTGTACTTCTGGACCGTTTGGATGCTTATCAGGCTCGGGCTGCCGAGATTCACACCCATGTCACTTCAAGGTATATTAAAATCAATGTTCTTTTTTAGTTAGATTGATTATATGTAAGACTTTCACATTGCATAATTGACTACCCTTTTATTGGGTATTTTTATAGAAATCTATTTTTTTCCTGAATATATGTAGTAACAAATTTCTAATTTCTTTAGATACCGTGACACTAAACTTGAGTTGTTGGGTCAGAGACAACGAATGAGTGAGCTAATAGCATCATCATTGTCTAATGTCCAGGAACTGCGCCATGGAACAACTCTCAGTAAGAATGGTGTTTTTTATTAGAATATTGGACTGCTCAAGTGTATATTTTTTATTTATTTAAGGAAAATGTTAAATAGTATCCATGAAATTAATTATTGTAAATTTAGATTTAAGTAAAGGAATTACTGTATTCCCCTTATTTGTGACAGTGATACATTGGACTGAAACAATCTGTTTCATTGCAGATGTCAGTGATGAACTTACTATAACTATAGTTCATGAAGCAATGCCAAAAAGGAGAAGACACTATAGATTACAAAATAGTGCTGCACTGAACCATGTGAAATCATCAAAAAATGCTCAGAATACAGTTAAGTCCATGAATGGCAGGAGCAGTGCTATAAGTCAATACATGTCGCCTAAATTCAAAAGAAAGCGGACAGATGAATCGTTTGATCATAGATCTTTTATGGGGAAAAAGAAAAGGAAGCTATTTTCAGGTGGAACTGATGCCTTAAGTAACAATAACAATATATGCTATGACAAAAATGTGAAAAGGCTTGATGGCAACCAAGGACATTACTGATTTTAATCATGTGAAATTAGAGCGGAAGGAGGAGATCAGTGACTTGATGGGTGATATCAGAGGGAGTAGTGGGGAGGAAGAGGATTTCAGTGATGACACCAGTAGAGGTAAAGATGATAATGATTGATGAGGAGGAGGAGGACGAAGAGGAAGAAGTATTGGAGGGAGCAAATGTTTTAGATATTGGCAACAATAATCTCGAAGAGGGTGAGAATGATAATGAAGAGGAGTCAAGTGAAGAAGAGTCCAGCACTGAAACTGATAATGATGAGAGTACTTCAGGAGAGGAGGAGGAAGATGATGATAGTAAAGTGAATAATCTTCAGAAATTAACGGGCAAGAAGGACGAAGAGGAGGAAGAGGATGAATATGAAGACGGCCAGAGTCATCCTGGTAAGTTTAGTGTTTGTTTTATAGTTAATTGTTTTCTTTTTTTTCCATTTGAACCATTTTAAGAATTACATATTGATCAAAGAAAAAATAGGGTTGATAGATTGTAAACCAGTGATACTGGAGCTGGATTCATCAACATGCAATTGCAGTGCATTTACCGGTGAGCAGTTACCATTGTATTTACCATCGATGGTAAAGTGGAATTCATGAAGAGATGGTAATGCGCCTCATAGCGTTACAATTGTAAATTTACTCATTCTGATGGTAGCCAACAGAGTGATATGAATAGAAATTTTGTGAATAGAACTTTGTTTAACCCGTTTGGATCTGGTTGCGTCGTGGGAATCATGGTGCTCAAAACACGGGCATTGGGGTTTCATAAGTAGCCAACATCCCGGGTATATGGTGTATAGGCTGGGTGCACTCGAACCCAAGAGTAGTGACAAGACTCTGTAACTCCCCTTTGCAAAGTTATTTGTGTAAACTTTGATAACTTTATTGCCATTTTCCAATGTCCATATTTGATTTTTGATTTGCTTTATCTGGATTGTAATATTTTATTTTCATTGCACAGACCCCACATCATCTCTCTATGTTGTAAATAACTCAGTGCAAGGGAGAAAAATATGGAACATTTGATTATTTGTGTCAATATCTCATTTTTTCATAATTTTCAATTTTACACGATACAACCTGTGCTGCTGGTCATAGTAGCCAGGAGTATGGTGTGCAGTATGGAAATGGCATCCTCCTGGAGCCGGCGTTTCATCAAGTCACTGCTTAGGCACTTTACATTCCATATTTGTTTATTGATGGGAATAATGCTAAAGCCCCTTTCTAAGTGCCAAATAAGTCAAATCACACTCCAAGAGGTTTGCGCGTCTTTTCCATCACCCTGGCCTTTGCTCGTGACAGCAAGTTTGTGTCACCTGGTCCACGGCCATTTTCCCCAATGATGGCATGTTCATGTCACCAGCCCCTCGACTCTAGTTTTTCCGTAATGTGACTGCAACATCATTCAGGTCCAAGGGGTTAATATATCCACTATTTGAGATGTTAAACCTTCAGTGACGGGTACAACTATTTTGATTATGACATAATCGTTATGATGTAAATACACATATTGATATGCATTGATATTGATATACATATTGATAACAGTAATAAGAAGAAACAAAAGTTGTGCTTAAATATTTTTTGGATGAGGTAGCTAGTAATCAGATTATTTTCCATGAAATTGCCAGTGGACTACCCAGGGCTTTGACGATTGATAGATTTACAATTGTAACCCAGTTGGTAAGTTGTTCATGAATGCCACCTCTGTCTGTTTACAGTCATAATTAGAGTTACAATCAATTTTACCATCACAATTGCACAAGTGAATCCAGCCTGGGAAACAAACTTTTATTACTTGCCATTGTGTCATATGCTTCCACCAACTGCTTGCCTTATTCCTGGTCTGTCACTAGAGCCATATACCTTTATTTATTTGTTTGCTTGTTTTTGTAGCTGTTTCAAGTGTTATGTTTTTGTGTCCTACTGTTTACAACTTTCAGTATTATTTAATTATTGTAACAACAACTTTTTGCTTTACATGTGTTTTAAACTGGGTCTTTATCATAGGTTTATTTTGCTTGATCATTCAAAAGAAATTGTGTATACGTTTTACATGAAAATACTTGCAGGGACAGACACACATGCATAAATGATGATGATAATGATAATAATTGTAGTGATAATAATAATAATAATGATAATATATTAATAATAAAAACAACAACAATAATAACTAACAATTATGATAACAATAATACTAATGAAATTTATATCAATAATAGTAAGACAATATAAATTTTGCCTAGAATAAGGACAGCTGCAAGGGCCAAAGCCTGTTTTGAATTACTCCAACAACCATTGATATTCCACTGAATTATTATGTGTCTTTATAACTGTATAAACACACACATGCACCCCCCCCCCCCACACACACACACACTCAGGATGGGGCCATAATACATTTACCAGTGATCATTTACCATTGTTTTTACCAGTGGGTGTAGAGTGGGATTCACAAACAAATGGTACCCCGCATTGACTGAGTTACAATCATAAATCGACTCATTCTAATGGTAGCCAACAGAGGGCACTAATAAAGCAATTCCACAAATCTGCTAGTGCCATACATAATCTTTCAGGTTCCTTCAGCCAGTTGTAAATGTAAACAGAACTAGACACCGCGAGATTTTTCAGAATCTGTTACAACTAAAACACCATTAAGCATATGTTGAAAGAAAGAAAGATTTATTTAATTATATCAATCATGTGGGATGTTGATGGTTTCCTAACAATTTATTTTATAAGAAAGGAACCAGTACAACACTATATTAATATATTGTTTGCCGCAAACCAAAGAAACAGTTCCAAACAGCTTTTATTTATTTCTCATCGGTGTTAAACAAAGAACCAATCCAAACACAATCTTTATTGATTGCCATATATCATCAAATAAAAGAAATATTCCAAACTCATTCTTGCCCATGTGCTTTGGAGTTTATTGTTCTTTGCCAAAATAGTGCCAAACCTAGTTGCTCTACTTGTTTAGCGTTGGTATTGCTTGTTTGTATATCAGCAAGGTGGTGTTTTCTATAGAATTATTATAATTATATCAGAGAATAATACTTAAAGAGTTCACATGAATATCTTTCCTTGCACTCTACAGTCTGATATAGGTTTATGTCTACCTGTAATTTGAGAGACTGTTTGGGTTTTATTCTTGCTAGTTACATGTGAAATTTGCATTGCTCACCATGTCCATATTGCGACATCTGTTTGGCACCATAATATTATATCAGGTATAAAAACAAACCAAAATTTTGCTTAGATATTGATTTTTGGATGAAATAACACGATAACATCGTCTTCCAGAAGTTACCAGTTCTGTGACCACTGGTAAAATTTACCATGGTAAGTCTGATGGCAAGTTGTTAATGAATAGCACCGCTGTCTTTTTACCACGTAACTATAGTTACCAGTGATTTTACCATCTTAAGTGCGTTCGTGAATCTGGTTCCAGGAAAGTAAACACAATCATACTTATACTCTCTGACGACAGCAAAGTGGTTGGATGCATATTATTAGGGTTCTGAACAAGCAAAGGGAAAGGGATCAACAATTTTCTTTTCATTCTGTTTCTCCAATTCAGTTTCAGGTTTGAAAATTTGGTTCGGGAAGTTTGTTTATGCATAAATAGGTCATCAAGTGCTTTAGCCATCAATAAGTCAATTAGTAGACCAGGGCTCTCAAAGTTGCTGTCACCAGTGGCAAATTGCCGTCTTTGGCTGGTTTTGCTGCCGTCTATTTTCATTTGGTCCCAAAAATAAATCTTTCACCTTCTTGCCTTGCTGAAACCAGTTGCGGATGTTAATTTTATACACTATGCAGGGCTGGCTGCTTATTCATAGCACCATTTCTGCTGTTTTCTAAACATTAGATGATAAAGAGAAAGGATATAGATAATAATTCTCCACCCTTGCACCCTACTATGCTCCATAACTTTGAGGAGCTGTGGTTGACCTACATGATTTTATTTCCCTGTGCTTTAAGTTTTTTTTTTTTTTTTTTTTTTTTTATACTGATATCAATACTGTTGCTATGAATTATTAACATTATAATCATTTTAAAGTTACCAACTACACTAACAGGAATATAAAACAAAAAAGGATATTTCCAAATATCAAGGAAAATTACAGATGGGCAGTATTTGACTTCTGGATGACAAAGCATTTGTAAAGCCATTTATGTGTAAATGCAATTAATAAACTAAACTCAGAGCGTACGTGACATGTATGTTCATGTCATCCCCATCAGCATTAGGGTAACAAGGAAGTGAATTTTGGGACCTTGATAAGTACAAAAAATAAGTGATACCAAAACTAGTATAACCAATTGCATTTATAAATTTTTGAGTGATATTCTGAAAAGTTGGACCACAGTTTAGGTTGATTATTTGAACAGCTTTAGAAAGACAACAACACAATTTCTTTGAAAAATAGCAAACCTATTAAACCTTGGTTATGGCATTCTCAAGTAGAGAATTGGAATTAAAAAGAAACATTTTACCTCTGTTTTTGACACACGCACACGCACGCATGTTAGCATGTTTTCATATTATTTTTTTTGTTATTCCCCTTTTTCCTAATGTATATGTGTTGTGTTTGCTTTTTTTTCTTCCTTTGGTTTGCCAAGTACAGTTTGATTAAAGATATGCAATTTAAATGTATTAGATACATTAACTATTTCATTTAAACATTTAAGAATAATAAACTTTATATGAAAATCTTTTGCAGTTATGTTATAGCTATTCAGTTTAAATCTACTATTGCATTATATGATCTAGTGTTCACAAAATTTGTATTAGATTAACCTGTTAACACTGGGATGTATGTATTGTTTAGCTACATACAGATGGCTCCTCATGTATCAGTTGGTATGTTTACTCTGTTGTCTTTTATGGTTAACCCACTAACAACGGGTGTCCCACATATGAGACACCCGAAAAAATAAACATTGCTGGGCGTCCCGCAGTGTGACGCTGTATCGGGTTCGTGTACCTGATGCAGCAGCGGGCAGGCGAAGCTGCCCCGGACTCTGCCCGCTTGCCGATTTTGTAGCCGACCGGAATCTTTTATTTTCGGCTTCAAAAATATACCAGCGTTAATGATTAATATTAATTTTATGAAAAAGTATATGTCAGAAATAATGATAATATTAGTAAACAATAGTAATAGTATTTTAGATTAAAACTTTTATGACAATTTATAAAACTGGGTAAACAAGTGAATTTGCATATGTTAGTAAATTACTTTCATGACTGAGTTATTGTGAAGCCATCTATGCATTAGAACTGATAAAACAAAACTGTAGTGTGCAGTGCATAACTGGTACAAGTGGATTAACTAATTTAACCGCTTGTTGCTGAGATAGTATAACTTATATACCATATCCACTGGTTTTAGTTTATGAATACCTTGCTACACTCATTCCATCTTAAAGATTTTTTTTTTTTCTTTTCTTTTTTCTTTTTTATGTTTTAGAGTAAATAATTGCACTTTCTCTTTGGGCAGGAGCTCCTCTAAAATTGGAAAATAATAGAGAAGTAATTTTCCCCTGATTTACCTAAGAAATATTCTTGTGCTAGATCGATGCGCCCTCCGTATCCCTTGCTCATTGTTCTCGTGGGAGGGCTTAGGAGATGGAGACTGAAGCCCAATGTATTGGATCGCCATTACTGGGTCGATATAATTTTTGAAGAGGATTTAGGTATATAAACACATGCATATAAGGTTAACCATTTAAATCTTCCTCATTTATGTAAAAGAATAAAAACATTAGTTATCCATTTCAATTCGTTTTCATTGATGAATTTTACTTAAAATAACCAATGCCCTCAAAGACGATTGTACAATTTTTTTTAAGGATTATTAAAAAGGAACAGTTTTGCTGTCAGAAAAGAGTGTAGAGTTGGTGTTCAGTCATTTGCACCCATTATCTTTTCTAAAAAGTGCATAAAAATCATCGGATGCCTAGGTGGTTGGATATCTGTGTATATATATGTGACCTATGCTACGGTAAAGTCTGCATGTTACACTTTTTATCGGAAATCCCAGGAAAGGTTGTGGTAGCTGTTTCAACTCTATATGAAGACCGTACATGAGACTGAGTTCAAAATTCCTTATAGTTTGATATTTTATTGTGTACTATCATCTTCAACATAAATTGATAGATGTCTCATTTATGTTTCCAAAATTCAAAAATCTAGTTACTGGGTGCTCTTCCTATTGAAGTGCTCTTTTCAGTGGAAATGATATCTCATTTATGTTTCCAAAATTCAAAAATCTAGTTACTGGTTCTTCCTATTGAAGTGCTCTTTTCAGTGGAAATGACCATTTTCAAATCAAAACAAATAATGGTGGACGGTACTGACTGTTACAGTGGTCAAACCAAAATATTTTAATCATTATTAATGTAGTTATTTTTTAACATTAGTCTTCATACTATCAGTACACATACATACCCTTCATAAGCTGCAACATATTACCAAGGAGTCTTGTTGGTAAGCATATTTCATGTGTAATTTTACACAAAACTTAAATTATTAAAGAAAAATTTCATGAAATATTTCATCTTAAATCATTGTAATATCAATTTTTCTGATATTGGTATAAAAGTATTCTTTGGACATTCACAATCTCATTTCTGTGCACAATGTTATAATCAAGTGCCATATGCAAGATTGCTACAAGCAAAAGTCCACACAGGTGTACTAGGACGATTCCCGTAACACATGTGTGGCCCAAAAAGTACTTAGTCACAGATGAGTCATTTGCTAGCCCAACCATCATATATTTATCATTTGCTTTTATTTTTGCAAATACATTTCATTTATTTCCATTAATATTTTAAATCTTGTGCTATGATGCGACACTTTATGGCTTTCTCGGTAGACTATAATGCACCACTTTATGGCACTACTATAGGTTAAACATAGAGTAATCACTCATTGATACTTTATAAATGCCCAATATCTCTTTTATGTGAAAAGGCAATGTCGAATCTTGCTTGACAACAACTGAATATTTTATATATTTGATATATTCATATTGAAAGAAAGATTTTAAACAAAGCAAGAATTAAAGAGCGTAAAAATCAAAGCTTGCCTCCAGTAATCGATAAACCAATTAATCCCTAGGATTAGGTTGCTTCACAGCCATTAAAAGGCCCAAAATATGGGCATTAGTTTTATATGAGTGGCCACTCTCATGGGTGTGTGGCTTGTAGGCTGGGTGCATGCTAACACTTATGTGCTGTGACAAGACTGTATGCCTCCCCTTTGCAATATTATTTTCTCTTTTTCTACATAAGCATCTTAAGCTTTTTTGCCTTTTTCTAATTCTATCTTTGTCATTTGATGGTAATAGACTGCTTTCCATACATAGTTTATATCATCCCAGTAGGTATTCCATAACTTAGTGCAAGGAAAAGGAAATTGTGTAATTGGTAATTTTTGTAATTTTATTATTTTTGGTAATATTAAATTTTCTGTAAAACTACTGGTGGCCAGTCATGGTGACCAGGAATAAGATGCTCAGATGGAAATGGCATCTTCCCTGGAGACAGCACTCTTCTGGTCATTGCTCACAAACACTATATTCTACATAAATGCAAAAATCCCTTTCTTCACCCTCCAAGAGGTTTGTACACTTGTTGCGAGTCTTTCCATCACCCTGGCCTTCAGCCAAAATGGTCAGAAGTTTGTATCACCCATGCCAGCAGCCAGATTTTCCCATGATGGCATGTTTCTTGTCACTCACCCATCAAGCCAAATTTTTTCATGATGTCATGGTCACGTCATCCAGATCAAAGGGTTTAAAATAACCCTTGTTACTCTTATCAATGGAATGGAATTATCCGGAATTATAATACCGTAAAAAGGCAAGAAAGATTTTCCGCCAAAACTGTCGGAAAATGAACAGATCTCGATTCCAGATGTAATCACCAGGAAGAGTTTAATATATATATATATTATATTATATATTATATATATATATATATATATATATATATATATATATATATATATAATGTACATATATGTATTATATGTACATATATGTATAAATATGTATACATATGTATATATATGTATATTTATATATATATATATTTTATATATATTATTATATATATATATATATATATATATATATATATATATATATATATGTATACATGTATACATGTATACATGTATACATATGTATATATATGTATATATATGTATATATGTATATATATATATATATATATATATATATATATATATGTATATATATATATATATATATATATATATATATATATATATATATATATATATGGATATATGTGTGTAATATATATATATATATAAATATATATATATATATATATATATATATTTATATATATATATATATATATTATATATATGGATATATGTGTATATATATATATATATATATATATATATATATATATATATATATATATATATATATGGATATATGTATATATATATATAATATATATATATATATATATTATATATATATATATATATATATTTTATATGTATATATATATATATATTATATACATATATATAATATATATATATATATATATATATATATATATATATATATATATATATATATATTATATACATATATATATATATATATATATATATATATATATATATATATATATATATATATATATATATATATATATATTTTTTTATTGTTATTATTGTTATTATTATTATTATTATTATTTTTATTTTATTTTATTTTTATTTTTATTTTATTTATTTTATTTTATTATTATTACTTTTTTTTTTTCTATGAAAAACTGATTAGTGATGCAATTCTGTAGGAAATTGTTGTCTACCTGGATCACATTACAATATTTGGTGTAGTGGACAATTTGTATATACCCTGGAATAGTTTGAAATAGCTTTAGAATAGAAAATTGCATTTCACAGGTAATTGGCAACAAAATTTTACATTGTAGACGGCTGCTCGTGGCCTCCTTGTGCGTTGAACTTAAAGACTTAACATTTAGAATATCATAAGGTATTAGAAAAGCATTAGAAATAACAATTTTTCCCTAATATTTAAGGAATGGGGAAATCAGGTAAGGTTACATATTGTCTAGTAACTGACTTCTTGGTAGCTAAGCACAGTGAAAAGTACAGATACCCACAGTCAGTGGGTTATGACAAATTTCTCTGCAATAACATTTTATTATGTCTGGTCAGGTGAGGGCTTTAACACTTCTGCCAAGAGGTCATTGCCATCTTTAAGTTTGATGTCACAAGATCATGTATCAGAGTCTACTAACAACACCTCAAAGCTAGAAATACAAGTTACAGCTCAGAAACAGTTCATGGAAGAGATGCAAATGAACCATCAACTCCAAAATCAGTCAGGTGAGTTTATTAACCTTTCAGTTTTTACATGGATTTTGAGAAATTACTTTAAGTGAAGGGGACTGTCAGGTAGATTTGAGTTACATACATTACTAATAAGCTCTCCAAGTACCCTCCCCTCCCTTGAACTTTTAGGGGGCTAATACCCCATGTAAAAAAAAAAAAAAAATGCATTTTATTTATATATTTTCATATGAAATAAACAAAAATTTGCTACCCACCCCACCTCACTCCCTCCAAAAAAGAAAAAAGTAGGGTTGCCTCATCAAAGATACATCACACAAATCATGTATTTCATCATTTCATTTAGAGTTGTTGACTTGTACTTAGATGATATGGTAAGATACTGCATATAAATACAGTGAAGGGCAAATGAAAGGTGCACAACACAGGCAGTAGCATAGTTGCTTACAGGTATTCTGTTTTACCATAGGTTGCCAAGAATCATTATTGCTGTGCTGCAGCTTGCTGTCAGTATGTTATTATGTCAAATGTCACCTAGCTAGTCCAAGCATCTCATCAATATATTTCAGTACAAATGCATTTATGTGTGATATAGGAAATTATGATATTTATGGAATAGTTAAGACAGGCAATGTCAAGACATATGCCTTCAAAGCATCCATACTGTAAAATACACAATGTTTACCAACAATTATTCTTTCTTACAGTTAAATAATTCCTTTGAGTTGTTGACATGAATGTATTATCTGTTGACATATCATATTGTAACTATTATTATTATTATTATTGTTAACAATTATTGTTATTATTATTGCTACAATTATTACTAGTATTAATATAATTGCATGCCGATAGGTGGCAAGTACAAACATGCTATGTCAAAACATGACTGGTTGGTTATGCTAAAAATTGGAGCATGTGACACAGTAGGCATTTTTAAGATACAATTTCATGTGCAATAATTATTGAGAAAAGAAGCCATTTATTTTTCTTGATTTATTAATCTATTTGATATTTTATTATTTTTCTTTTTATATAATTATTTATTTTAACCCACTAGCGACAGTACATTTTCAAGATGAAAATAATATTTTCCGGGCAGCTTCAAAATCGGTGTGCAGGGGGTCTGGGAACTTGCCTGTGCGCCGCCTGCCACGGGCGATAAAATCAGAGTGCAAGCTCCGATCTAGCATCGCACTGGCAAAATGCCCAGTAATGTTTACTTTTCTGGGTGTCTCATATGTGTGACACCTGTCATAAGTAGGTTGAGGAAAATAGATGGAAGGGCAGAAAATTTGCATTTTTACATTTCTTCAAATTAGCTCCTATTTGAAGATTCATCATAAAACAAAGAAAAATATAAAGAAAGTTGCCGCTCTTGATTTGAAGAATAACTGTTTGTCTTAGAAAAAAAAAAAAAAATGAAATGCAAAATAAAAAATAAAAGGTGACTGATATTCATACATTTTTATTCATAATTTTTACTGTAATTGTTTTTATAAAAGAAAAATTCTTTATGCAAGAACAAGAAATGTACATCTTTCACCAATCTCAAAGAATGTTCGATTCGTAAAACTGGACAGTCCCCTTCAGCCTCGTTTTAATAGATGAAATAACAATGATAGCTAGAAATAATAATGATAGCTAATAATCTAACATTCTACCTAAGTATAGATTGATATATTTAATGAATAAAAGTAGACAGAGATCAGGTCCCAGACCCCCAAGGGGTTTATATTACACAGGTTATTCCCTGTATTCCCTGAAAATGTAATTATGTTCCTGCGAGGTGTTTGGGTAGGCAAGAGGGCCTAGATACACTAGGGAATATATCATTAAGTATATTTGATATGATTAGCTATATATGATTTATATCTATTTGAAAATTATTAAAGCATTACCTAACTAAAAGCACAATTGTGTAAATTCAATAGATAAAACTTGTTTCTCTTTTTCAGAATATCTCTCCAAAATTATAAAGAAGCCATTTTTTCAAGATAACTCAAATATAACATGACAAGGATAACTAAAGTAGGGCCAGAACACAAACAATATTAATTGACAACTTTAGAGTTCCAAGTGGTTATTTTGGAATTTGATAAGTGTTCATTTAAGTAAAGCAGCATTGGAATTCAACATTCGTTATAATATATTTTTTCACATATTACAATATTCAGAACTGACAGTAAATGCTATCTGTATTTGCAGAGATCTGTAAACTATATTTTAAGCAGTTATTTTACAAATGACTCATTAAAATAACTAAAAAAGTATCTTCTAAAGAAAAAATGTATTGGATTTTATCAGGTAAAAAAAAAAAAAAAAAGAATTGAAGGAGGGACTTAGTTTGCTTGGGGAAGAATTTTCAAAGGTCAAATTACTTATAAGTAACTTTACTTTATTTCCATTTCTGGCCATATTGTTTTAGGTTAGTTTCTCTAAGTGACAGCTTGCTCTTGCCAAAGGTTTAAATGATAAGAATAGCCCAGCAAGCATATTTCATTCAGTACTATAAATACTGTTAAGGTTCATATGTACTCACATAGTTGATCACATCAAATTCATGGTGGACATTACCCAGTGCATTGTGAAGTTATCAGAAGAATGTAGAAACCAATTGTGTTACAGGATATCAGAAGATAATTCAAGTTTTTTTGAATCAACAGATAGTCAAGCAGTACCACCCCATGTTGCGGAAGCCATGTTAATGCAGAGTCCACTGGCAACATCTCTCCTACAATCTTTTCTTGCTACGTCATTATGGTTTGGTTCGCCAGAAACTTCAAAGAAAAAGAAGACTGGAGGACAAGCCAAACAGAAGCAGTTGCAACAAGTAATTCATGCTTTTTTTTTTGTAGTTCATTATATAACAATGAACATTTGGAGTAGAGTATTTATTCATGTACATCATGTTAAGAAATCTGACTTCTTTTATGTGGGGCTTTAATTTATTATGAAGGATTCCTTAGTTAACCCTGTGCCACTGGGGATGACATGAATGTACATGCCATGCCAACTGTGAGTTTATATTATTCATTGTCTTTACACATAGATGGCTCCACAAGTAATAAGTCATCAGTGAGCCAGTTATGAGTACCACATGTATCATCTGTTCACCCTTTTTCCTGATTTTCAGAAATATTTTCTGGTATGCTATACAGAGAATTTTGTAATTCTTTTGTAATATTGTTGTGTTTTTTTTTCTAGTACAAAAATCAAAATGTTAATTGATATTTTCTGATGCCATCACATACAAATATAAGTATTATTAGTAGAAAAAGTTTATGATTATAGTTAAAATAATTGTGGTTTTCTAGATTTGAAAACAGTGACCCACAGGAGGAGGGTACTGTAGATTTTCAGATAGAACTGTAGTTTAGCATGAAGGTTTACCATCTCTGTTTTTTTATTTAGAAGATGTGTTTAATATAAAGGTATGATTTTACCATATTTAAATACAATTGCAGGATTCAGATGACCTTACAAGAGAGACCTTAGCAGTTGCTGCTGGATCAACAAAAGATAAAAAGAAGCGTCAAAAGATAAAGAATACTGGCCAAAGTTATGTGAATACCAAGGGAAAGCTTGTAGATGCTAAGAGAGTATGGCCACAGGACTGTAGTAGGTGTGTTCCATGATTTGAATAAGAACTTGTATTTGAGCAAGTTATCTTTTCATGTGCTTTCTGTATAGATATATTTAAGTATTTTGATCTTTCATTTTACTTATTATCTATGATTTATTCTTCTATATTTGGCGGTGTACAAAATTTTCTATATTCACTATTTTGCCATTGTATAAGATGTGACTGTCTATAAGGAGCACTCATAGTAAATGAAGTTCAGTTCTTTGCCTTGTGAAAATATCAATGTATAGTATATGTTGCACATGAGGACATTTTCTAGTTATATACTGAAATCTTTTTATTTCATGCTTCAGATGCCCTTTGAAATGTAATGCCAGAATAAGTGAAGAAGATCGGCTTCGTATATTTGCTGAATATTGGGGTTTGGCAGATTATAACTTGCAGAGAAATTACTTGGCAGCACATATGCAACGGGAAGAGAAGTTGGGTCCTAGTGGGTTACTAAGGACTGTTATTCTGTACTTCCTCTCTCGGGACAAAGATACAAAATTACAGGTCAGTAACTTCCTATATTTTTTTGCAAGCTTATATAATTCCCATTTAATTTCTTGAATTCTTTATATTTTTTGTATGTATTTTCCTTTTCTTTTTCTCTAAATATTTGTTACTCGCTTTTTACTTGCTCTCTCATATACAGATGTGCAATTTTTAAATTTAACTGAAATAGATCACAGGAGGTTGGAAAGCAGTGGTACATCACTACTGACAGACAAGGACAATCTGTCTTATGTAGCATACTTGTTCACACTAAAGCAAGAGCGGACACCCATCACAGTGGGAAGGGAGAAGGATTGGCTTCCCCAGAAATGGGGGAAGTGACAGTGTGCTAAATGAAGATAAATGAATATTTTAGACTCAAAGATATTAAGTTTTAGAATCTTTCATACTATTAAACATTCAAGGTTTATACCTTAAAACAAATCAAATGTAAGTAACCTACCCAGGGGATAAAATAAACGTCAACAATTATTCAGTAATGGCCCTCACAGAAACCCAATTATAAATGATGAAGAAATTGAAATAGAAAACTGATATAATGCATAAAGATCTAGAGGTGGAGTAGCCCTTTACATTAGAAAAGATGTTGCAGCAAAAACTGACATTTGATAGAATATTCAAATTACACTATAAAAGTATTAGGAGTGTTGATCAAGCCCATACAAGAACTCTGGGTAACAGAAAAGACTCGCCACAAGTGCACAAACCTCTTGGAGGGTGATTAGACTCATGCAGAAGATTGATTTTCAAAATTCCAGCATCATTGTGTATTATCATCTTCTGCATAAGATAATCAATATCTTGCCTGAGACATGATTCAGCTGGCCTTGTCTTCATCTGCTGACTTGTGTCCAAGTGTCCAGACAGGCTTAATGTATCGACTGCTAAAACCACCGCTGTAATAGACTGCATGTACCTCTTGCTTGTATAACTGTGCATAATACTTCTCATTTGAGCAACATGGAGCACAAGGACTTATTCCTTGTTTCATCATAGTTTCCTGGTGTATATTTTTTTTCAAGAAAGAAGCTCAGAAACCAATTTATAGATTAAAAATTATCAACGCTTGTCTGACAAGCCGTTGACAAAAGTGTAGATCCTCAGTTTCAAACGAGCCATTTCTTCTCTGTTTTTGGTAGTAAAATATGAATTTTGTGATTATTAACTCAAATATCTAATATAACATTTGTTAACTTTATGTGTATTGATAATTCTTAAAGCAAATTATATACAATAATTTTAAATTACACCATGGAAAGCCTGGCCTTGGTCGCCTTATTGCTGGCTCTCCTCAGCCCCCAGATCTTGCACCAAAGTGACACAATTTGGCCCAGATAGCTGTGCTTACAGCAAGATTTGTGTGTACACAGGACTAGTTGAACAGAACCTTTATATATCCAAAGAATAAAAAACCAGCCTCTGAGTTGTCCTTCATATTGGAGTGCTATGTATAATGGAAATTACCAATTTAAAATCAAAACAAATTTGTTGACAATGGACAGTACCAACCAATAGGGAATTCAAACCAAAATATTGTTAAATTATTTTTTCTTTTATTTTTTAACACTAGTGTTTTGTACTTTGTACACATACAGACTCCTTTATAACTACAGCATATTACCAGGGAGTCTTGATGAAAGTCATATTTCATGTGTAAATGTACACAAAACTTTCAATTTTTAACCCATACGATCCGGATGACGTTACAGTCCTATCATGGAAAATTCTGGGTCAAGGGCTGGTAGATGTGAACATGTCTTTATCAGGCAAATTGGCTGTGGGCCAGGTGATGCGAAGTGGCTGTTATGAGTAAGGCCAAGGTGACGGAAAAGAATTAAAAAGTGGATATAACATATTTAGACCTTACAGAAGCTTTAAAAAAAGTCAACTTTGGACTTCTACTCCATAAGCTAAAGGACCTTGGAATCAAAGGAAAAGTAAAAATGTGGATGCATGATTTGCTAGCAAATTGCAAGCAAAAAGTAATCATTAATGGATATTCTAATGAATCAAGTGTTAGAAGTGGAGTATCACCTGCTTTCCTACCCCAATCCCATGCCCCTTTTTTGCTGTGGGGGTCTTAGGACACAGAGATTTGGGATCCAATGCTGCCTTGGGCCACAGCCATCAACTCAACTAATTTTACACAGTTTTTTCCCCATCCTATTTTTGTTTCCTTCTCTTACCCAACCCCTTCTACTATCCACTTCCTAAGGTATGAGAGCTGTGATGAAAGGATGAAAGGCTGATGTTGTGCCAGTCATGAACTGCCCCTGTTTAATTGTCTAACCCTCACAACTCAATGGGACCCTGAAAGGTGGACTATTTATCTCCCTAATATACTCAAGGCCTACCATGACCTGTAATGAAGAACTTGTACCATTTATAGGGGGCATTAAGGCTTACCCCTTTATCGAGTAGCCCCACTGATTCCAATTTTCCCGGTTCCCCGACACAATCTCATTCTTAATAGGGGCTTTAGGGCTTACCCCGTCATCAACTAGTGTATCTGCTTTCGATTTTGATGGTTTTCTGACCCTGTCCCTTCTTTGACCATGGCGACCACTGATACTAATACCCCCTCCTCAATGTTTACTGACAACTCTGTCCATTCTGAACCACCTACCCAGATTGTAACTCAACCTCCAGAATGCAGTCCTTCCTCTCTCCCAACATTCTCTTCTCCATCTTCATCAATGGCTACCCCCTCTTCCCTTATTACTACTCTTCATCCATATTGTCGTCCCTTCTCTTTCAACAGTGCCACCAAAAACGAGTAGGCAAATTTACCTTTTGCAGTCACTCCAATTGTTCATGCCTTGTCACAGTTACATCTGAATCCTAAGCTCGTTCACTATCTACCCTAACTGACCTTACTGGGAAACTCATTCCTGCCGAACCTCACCCCTCTCTTAACCCATTAACGCCGGTATTTTTGAAGCTGAAATCAGATATTCCGGGCGGCTCAAAATCGGCTGCCCCGGACTCCGCCTGCCCGCAGCGGGCCACTGCTGCGTCAGAGCATGAGCCCCGATACAGCGTCACACTGGCGGGACGCCCGGCAATGTTATTTTTTCCGGTGTCTCATATGTGAGACACCCGTTGTTAATGGGTTAATACTTGCACAGGAACTGTTTCTATTCCCCCAAATGCTTGTCCCATGTATGACAAGGACTGGTCAGACTCTGAAAATGACTTAGTTTCCTGCCTTGCTGAATATGATACAGTGGCAGTACAGTGTTACACTATTCCTCCCAAAGGTCAATGTAAGTCTCACGTCAATATTGCCAAGATTAGCTTCCACAGACAGGACCTTCCCCATGAGGTTTATGTTGGTGGATTGTCTTCATGTCCAACTTTATCGATCCCTTCCTCATCAGTGTTAGAAATTTCGGCTACTCAGCCAAACATTGTCACTCCACAGCCTGTTGCCCTCTATGTGCCCAACCTCGTCATGACCGTTCAAACTGCCCTGCTTAGTCACGTACATATGCCAATTGTGGAGACTACCATAATGTATTTTATAGGAGCTGCCTTGCCTATAAGCTTGAATGTGAGGTAGCAGTCCTCAGATGTAAACTAGACCTCACTCTGTGAGGCCAGACAGGAAGTACGACAATGAGATTTTTCTCTCTCAACTTATTCCAAAACAGTCCTTTGCTATGTCCCCCATCATCCTCACAAGATATTTCTAAATCTCCCCAGGTATCTTTCCCTATACCCTAAAACCTATGTCCTATGTCTGCTCACCCTGTCCCCAGTCAAATTTATTTTCCCTTCTAAATCCAGATACTCCAATCTCTACCAACTTCCCTGATACCTACCCCTCCTCCTCACATTATTTTTTCGTACCAGACAACCTAAACATTCCACTCCACCCTCTCCTACTACATTCTCTTCTACATCTTCCTCTGCTTCTGTTCCTCAGATATTTATCTCCTCTTCTCCTCCTCATAAGAGAACCTTTGTTTCTCAGTCCTCTTCACCCAACTCCCCTCCAGAAACCCTAGAAGGCATCCCAAAACTTCCTAAAGATAAGCTTAGGGAACACTCTGCTCCCTCATCCACCCCCAATCCTCTGTTCGTACTCCTTCTTTATTTGAAGTGTTTGTTGATATCCATCCTCCTTCTCAAATTCACTCCACCCCCTTCCTCCTACACCTCCCAACATACCCCCACTCTCTCTCTTCCTCTTCCACTTGAATACTCACTCGAATCCCCCTATCACAACAGTGTCCTTCTCCAGACCCCTCCACTCCAGACATTCTTCCTGATACTTCACCGACTTCCCCAGTCCTCTTTCTCATCCCTGGATTATTCTCCTCCTACTTCTCCAACACCCACCTCTCTTTTCCTTGAACAATGTCCCTACTCCTTCCCCAGTCATACTGTAGATACACTGCAATTCACACAGTAGCTCTAACCCCTTATATTCCCCCTACCCCTTCCCAAAATACCTCATCCTCTCAACCACCCAAACCAAAACCTCCCCCCAAATCCATTCTTTTCCACATACCTCATTCTATCAACCACCCAAACCAAAACCTCATTTACTTCCCTCCTTTCCCTTTTTGCTACCATACTTTCCTTTATCACTCTCTGGTCTTTGACATCTAACACCTTCCCCTCTCCCCAGATTCTTCTACTTTTCAACAGCTCTTGCTATTCTTCCTTGAATATTTTTCCTAAACCTTCCCTAGTGACAGATACACACAATTCACTCAGTCGCCCTACCTCCTTAACTCTCCCCTTTCTACTAATTTCTGCTTTAGTTCACTTGTTCCCCTATTTGCCTTTTCACTTCCATAATATCCTATAACGCTCTCAAACCTTTGACATCTAACCCGTTTTATTGTAATCTTTAACTCCCTTTCCAACGCAGTATTTTACCATAGTGCTATATGACCTTTGATGTCTAGCACATTTATTTTCAAACATTAAACATTAAAACATTTGAAGCTAGCACAATAAATGAATGGATTTGTAACTTCCTCCAGAATGATTGATAGATATGAAATAGGAAATATGAATTATAGAAATATATTGAACAGTTGGATCCAGATGACATGGGTGTCACATCATGAAAATGTTTGGCTGAGAGCTGAAGTGACAGGAATGTGTCTTCATGAAATATTGTTGCCAAGTAGAAGGTGTCAGGGATATCTTGTTGTTAATGCATTCAGCTCTTGGTGGGCCTTTAGGAAAGGTTGTTGCATTATTTCCATAAATAGATGAAGGTGGAATGTACCATATCTAAGCTATGCCTAGAAGAGAGCCAGCTCCATAGAGGATACTATTTCATGCGCAGTAACCTATTCCTGCCTACTTTGATTGGTGGTATAGGATGTTGAAGACAATATGCAGAGATGATATGGAGTATGTAAGCCTATTGCTCTGATAAAACAGATAAAACAGGTTAAAAGGAGAAGAATAGAAGAAAATATACATATTGCCACTGCTTGATGATTAAGTTTATATTAATCAGCTTTTTATTGCACCAATTCATTATGGGTAAAATTTATAGTAAAGTTTGGGGAAGCTGGGGTGCATTAGCATATACCACTCCAATATTGTTTAGCCCAAGGCTAAGCTCATGAGCAGTCATCCTCACCACCAGGAAAAGGGCTTATGATGCGATAAGTCATCACTCAGCATCATAAAGGTTTTCACTGTAGTTTGAAAGAATAGCACCCAGCATGATTGGGTTATTACTTTGTCATATTAAATTTTTACTTTTATAATTAGTAATTTTTTATCTTGTTGCAAGAACATCAACTATCACTTACACTCTTGCTCTTGTCAGTTTCTTTTAAGATGTTTATTATGTGCATTTATATTTTAACTTTTTCTTTTAACACTAGGCCAAATATGTTAATCCACATGTAATATATCTTCACAGGTTTGCCGTCAGTTCTTCTTGAAGACTTTAGATGTATCAGAAAAAGCTTCCAGAATTGTTTTGGAGAAAATGGTTCGTGGTGAACTGGGGACTGAAGGAGGTGGCCCAGCTACACCACCATTATTTAGTAATCGTCCACATTCATCACAAGGAGATAATGAAAAGTCTGGTAAAGAAGATGGTGAAGATGATGATGAAGAGGAATTGAAAAGTGATGACTTGTCTTGAGTGATAATAGATCATATATCTGGACCATTTTTGTATGTTTCAACTTGCACTCATCATGTAGTTTATAGTTTTTTGTCATGTCTGAAGTATGAGGTGAAAAGACATCACAGGCTACATGCTTAATAAAGCAAAGGCAATATAGGAAGAGGATGTGTAGTAAAAATTCAAGTAGCTGAGGCTTTCAAGGACCAATAAGTTTTTGCTTGTGCTTTATGATTAAACATTATTTGTACTATAATAGGATTTTGAGTATTTGTAGCCTAAGAAAAAAGCAAAGAAATGTCTAGGGAAATGGGCAGCTCATTTAAGAACCAAATGGAATATATAAACTCTGTAATGATTTATGGAGATCACTTCTTGTGCTTGAAATTTGCAGGATTTACCATTACATTTATTTCTCATTGAAAGTGGACAGTTTAAACTGTTGTCAGAGTTCAGAAAGTGTATGAGTGGAGCAGTAGTGATATGAGGTTTTATAGGTGAGAGTAGTGCATGGCTTTGTTATGTATATTTTAGATGTATTGCAATCGTTTCATAGGTGTAAGAGTCTCCTCCATGTGTCATTTTATAAATATTTTTTTTTATAAATAAATTAATAGCCACAAAAGGGGTAGTTGATTTTTTTACAGAGTGATGCTACACCCAAGATTTTGTGTTATTTTGATTTTTAAAGAAAATTTTAATAGGTAAATACAATGGTTTAATCAATAAAATAAAAATAGAATATGTGACTGGTACATACACATGCATTTTGAAAATGCATCTACTTCAGATGTAGAATAGCCTTACTCAGTTACTGGGAAGGTAGTATATATGGCATGTCCACTGTGATTTTAGTTTTAACAATTTTGTTGACAAAGATGGCTAAATAAGTTTTTATCCAGCAAGGAGTCAGTTTTGGAAAGAAAAGTGTTTTAATTACTATTAGTAATATTAATAATTATGACATTAATGATCATGTCATTGATGGTAGTGATAATATGATAATAATACTAATAATAAAAGTAGTAGTTGTAGTAGTAGTAGTAGCAGTAGAAAAAAAATCCTGAAAATCCAAGGAAGTGGGTAAACAGGATAGTTCAGGTAGGCCAAGCAATTGAATTCCTTGGTGACAAAGGACTTGTGGAGCTATCAATATGCATACATACCTGACAAAACAAAACTATAGTGGACAGTTGCCAGCTCTTAACCCAATACTGCCAGGAAAATGTTGCATTCACTTTAATATTTTTTTGTTAAATGTATCTGCACATTGATGGCTCAACCAGTGCTTAGCCCAAAGGAGTCAATTAGTAGATAATCTGACCTTGCCTTTCCTTGAAATAGAGGGAAAATGCCTTTTTTTTTCTTAATGCTATCAATATTCTTACTGCTATTTTTGTTATAAACTTTATAATTACTCTATTGTTACTGACATTAATAATGACAGTATTAAATACTAGAAAATATCAAAAATCAAGTAAAAGTGTAAACAAGTGAGACAGTAAGTACTTCTTGTAACTGGCTCATTGGTGACCTAGCACTTGTGGAGCCATCTATACATAAAAACACTAAATTAAACAGTGGACATGGCCCTTTACTCACACTTGCGCACATGCACACGCACATGCATACGCACACGCACACGCACACGCACACGCACACACAATCATACACACGTACATGCATGCCTACACATACACATACAATACCTGTCTGGCAGATAGTCCAGGAACAATCTGTATCTCAACTGAAAAATTGGCCGAAAGAAATTGACCACTTGACAACATATCTCAATTACACCCATGCATAGCAAAACAAATTTGTCAGTGTGTTT